ATTATAAAATTACTTATAAAGTAAAACTTTTATTATTATAATTTTTATAATTTATTAAGAAATTTTATGACTTTAATGAATGATAAAGTGAATAAAATGATTTAATATATAAATTTTTAAAAAATTTTTAAAAAATTATTATAAAAAATTATTTGAAATTTAATTTTAAAATTATATTATTTTAAAAACTTTTAAAACTTAAAATTTTTATTAATAAAGTTGATAAAATATATATTAAACTATATTTTTTATATAATAATAATATTACTAAAATTAATATTTTATATTGCCTACTCTACAGTTTAAGTAATAACAATCAGAAATCCTTTTTATAGAATATTAGAAAAAATTCAAATAAATAATATTATTTTTTAGTTATAGCAGGTCCTACAAAAATAACATTCTAAATCTTGTCATATTTCACAATTAATATCTTATTAAATACAATTAATATTATCAAATATAAAGAAATTACTTAACAAATCAATAGAATAGACTGTAATATATTATCTATTTCAGATAAAAAAATTTTAATTTCATAATCAATAGATATAATAAATTCTACTGAATAGATTCTATCATATTCTATATTTACATTTAAAATAAAAAAAACTTTCTAACTTTTATTTGACTATAATCATATGTATATATTACATTTCTAGATAATTTTTTAATGTAACAAGAAATATGTAATGATACTATAAATACTTTGATATTATAAATGAAAATTTTTATATTACCTTTCAGTCAGAAATTCTGTTATAGATACTATGATCTATAAAAAATTCACCATTTTGAATCATGCAAAAATATTATAAAAATATATAATATTTATTTTAGAATTCTTTCACTTTTACAGTATACAAAACCCAAAGTTTGATATTACTAAAAGTCTTTTTCACATTAGATCAAACTATTTTTTCATCAGAACAAGCATATATTATTAAACTTAAAAAGTATATTGCTAGTTAACAGATTGTATTTGCTAATAATAAGTTTATATTAAGTTGAATAAAAAAGAAATAAATACGAATTAATTATTTGAAGGATCATATCATCTTTATTGATATAGATTTAAAGAAGAATAAATTATAAATGAGCAAAGATAGGTATAATTACATGCAAATTGCATTTTTACAATATATATTTAAGATTTAATTCTTAAGAAATTTACTTAATAATATTAATATTCTGATGGATGCGAAATAATTCCGATATAACCAAGTTTTTGACATTCGAAAATCGAAATTTATTATTTTCAGCGATCTAGGAACCTTTGTTGTAAGAAAGATTTTTAAATATTTGAATTTCAATTTGAATTTCAAATGAAATTCAATTACTGACTTGCTAATCTTTAAAACAAAGTATGATATAGGTAATCACAATCACGAATTTAGAAAATTAAAAATAAAAAACTTATGGCATCAGTAGTAGTGATGAGATTATATTCATTTTCCCATTTTTGGTTTGTCCACTTGATTTTGTTGTCGTACCCGCATTCATTTTTTATATGTCTACGATCAGTCTACCATTGCTCACAGAAAACAAAAAAATTTGATGTGAGAACATGAGACATTCAATGTAACCTAAGGCACGGATTAATTTTGATCAATTTAGACCATGCAGGGTGGAGTCAGTAACATACTTAATAGAACGGCGACCACATGATGCTCATCCGAAAGTGAATAGTATTGATGCATCCCTTTTTTCAAACAATTTATATGAGATGAAGGGCCGGTTTACAACGCGAAAGCAATTCATTAACTATCACAAATAAAAAATAAAATATTACATATACATGTATATACAGTATATATATATATATATATTAATCTAGCATCAAGAATTGCATTTATGTAACAAGATTGATCGAAAATCCATCCCAATATTTCCTAAATCACTTACAATCACCATCATCATCACAAGGAACAATCACACTTTAAAAAACCCTTGCAACCTCTGTTCTCATCAAAATATGAACTTCCCGCTCACGATTACACAGTAAGCTTCATGTAACATCAGTTGCCCATCCTTCATAAACTACAGCGTAGACGCTTTTGACAATCCTTCTACTTGTATCATCATAATAAATAAATAAAAAAAAAGGAGAATTAATTTCTACGCTAAAAAATTTAGATTGTTTTCTTTAAAAGACGAAAATCACGATATGTTTATCTATTTGTTGCCGAACTTGTTTGTGAATGAAGGTTCCCAAAAAAATTCACGAGAAATTCATTTGAAAGGTACAACAAGACATGTCAAGGAATAAATTAGGTATTATCTAAGCAATTATCTAGGACCCTTAAAAGTTGATACTAGTCGATGTACGGATAAGATTCTCGTTGCGTAGATGAAAAATTAGTAAAAAAATAAAAATAAAATAAAATGTGCTTCTCACGCGAATACCATGCATTTATGTAACAAGTACACGCGGTTGCAAAAGTCAAATAATTCTTCTCGATAATTTCCTTTATTTGAACTTGAAAAATTTTTTCTTTTAGGAATAATTACGAATTTGAGTACAATTTACATTTATAATAACACTTATTATGCAGGTTATGACGATCCCTCCGAAACAGGAGGATTTTTTCATATGAAAGATGTGTTTAATGTAATAGAAAGCATGTGTAAAAAGAAATATTTTTTTTCCTAAAATCTCAAAGCCACCAGTGGCTAATGCGTTTTGTAATTTGACCAATAAAAGTACCTGTATAAATCCTGCACATAGTAGTTGTAAATTAATGTATTTAAATTAATAAATTTTAATGTTTAATTTTGAAAACAAATAAAAAGTAATTTGACATTTTTGGCAGCCAACCTATTTCAAGACTGCGGGAAAGTAAAAAATTGCCACACAATTGATTCACGGTAAAAAAAGAAATAACATTCCACGAATGCAAGGGTTGATTGCATGAGATTTTTCAGTGATGTATATAGGAATGCACAATATTTTGATGTCAAATGTCAATAATTAAAAAAAGTTTATTTTACAATTGATTGCTTATTGATTTCCCCACATGTATATATAATATTAAACTAAACTATACATATTACATTAAATATATCTCCACTTTATATATTTATATTCATTTTCACACTATTTTCACGAGATTTCATTTTAATTGCGTTTTTGTTAAGTTCATATCATTATATATATTTCAATATATACATTTAAACAACCATGTACGTAAGTTGTCTCATGTTTGATATTAACAATTTAGTCATCTTGCATTTTTCCCCGCCTTTAAGTTTGAGGCGCTTTTTTAATCATGAGAATTTTTTTAAGTATATAAATGGTGTTCATTTTCACTTCTGCCCCCTTACTACTTTTTTCCATTTTTCCTGACAAAAAAAAAAATAAAACAATTTTCTTTCGAATAAAATTATCAAATTTTTCTTCAACTACAAATATATCAAAAATGTCTAAAAGAGTTATTGTAACTGACATCTCCGAAAAAGCTTCAGAAAAAACTGGTATGTAAAATCTTTGGGCGAGAACAAATATTTCTAAATTAGCGTGTAACCTTAAATGTTTTTGCTTGCAATTGTAGTCAAAGACTTCTTTTTATTTTGCGGCAAAATTAAAGAATTTGAGCTTATAAAGTATGTTGTTAACATTTTTATGTAAACTGTCTATCTATAACTTGTGTCCCATTTATATTAATCTTTAATTGTTTTCCTTGTTCCGTTTATAGGGAAGAAAGCAGCGATAAACAAATCGCTTATGTCATGTTCGAAAAAGACACCGCCGCTAAAACAGCGCTCATGCTCACAAATGCAGTCATTTGCGATAGTCAAATTACGGTAAAATCTGCTGATGATGCGTCGTTTGGCGATGATCCAGAAGAAACATTCCCACAAGGACAGGAAGATAAACCAAAAGCCATGATCTTCGCAGAAATTTTAGCTGCTGGATATACATTACAAGACGCTATCCTTGAAAAGGGCATTGAATTCGATACTAAATATGGTGTCAGCAATGTTCTTAAACAGTACTTGGCTCAAATTCAAGCCAATCGTACGTTTGATTTTGGTACTATTTGGCTGTTTTTCTACCGATGTTATAAATTTTTTTATTTTGGCTTCTAATCTTTTTTTTTTTCTTCTTTTTTTTCACCCTTCTCATTCATAGTTAAAAATTTAGATCAAAAATTTTCAGTTTCAGAGACCGTGTCAACCCGCGCAACTAACATTAACAATAAATATTCGGTTTTAGATGGTGCTAAATATGTAATTAACCAAGCCCAAGACAAAGCACACCACTTTCTTGATACACCCACCGGAAAATTGATTGTCGATTATCTTTGCCTTTCACAACAAAAGGTTGCCGACGTTCAAACTTTGGCGAGAAGAATCGCCGATGAGAAGAAGAACGATCGAAACTTCAACCCTGTCCCTTCTCATTCACATCCAGATGTTCAAGCTTCTAATCCACCAATCTCTGCTCAATAAATTACAATGAAGAAGGAAAATTTTTAATTCAAGCAACAAAAATAATAATAAAAAAATATATATAAATATATATATATTCATTTCCACTTTTTGCATTTTTAACAACATTCATTTCTAATTAGTATCAACAAATAAATAACGTTTTCTATATTATGTTGCTTATAGGCAAACATATTTTATCTTTTTATTATTTAGTTTTTATTTTATTTTATTTTTTTTATTATCACCTTTTGTCAAAATAATAATTAGTTTTTTTCCTTTTTATTAAGAAAGCGTGTTTATTTTTTTAAATATAAAAATATTTTTTTTTTATTACCATACGCTGGCCAGTATATTAGATATGTAGTTGGCTACCTTTTAAATACCAATTTTGCATATTAAGATTTCTTTCAAAAAATAAATTTTAGGTATTAAAAAATAGAAAAAAAATTTGTTAATTTTTGGTTGAAAAATTTACATGACATGCAATTAGCATTTCAATTTTCTAAAGATTTTAAGGAATGTTTAAATTTGTTCAAGTCAAAGGAATTCAAGGAAATAATGGACCTCAGTATGTTAGATTTACAAAAACATGCCGTTTTGGAACTCCGAAACTCGAAAGAAACCTGATTTGGGCGTAGCCTTGCGTCTCCGAAATGTATTTACTATATATCAAAAGTATTTAGCCACAATTCTCCGAAAATTATCGGTGATGAAAATCTGCTTTACGCGATTTTCACATGATTTTGATCTGTGCATTGCATAACCAAATTTCTCTGAAAAAAAATTCGGAAAAACTCTTTTTATGTTGATAGCTCCGTCATTTCCGATCTGATATTCTTTTCATCTGAGCTAATCGATATAAAATTACCTACTGTATAGATGTACCATCAAACATTTTCGAACATTTATGGTTCAGGGATGGCACGAAGAAGGAATTGTATTGAGAGATCAAACACTTATAGCATAGAATTTAACAAGACGGCCTTGGATTATGACTAAAGATCTAGATCGGTTATTTAAATCACCTTACGGATCATATGAGTTCCATAAGGTGATTTTAATAGCCGATCACCCATATTATTGATCTTCAGATCATTCTTGCATAGCATGACTTTTGATGATGTTATTCTTACTAATGTAATAAGTTTCTGGACGACAAATACTTATTCAATTAATTGATCAAATTGGGTTGCTTTTGACAGAAAATAAAATACCATTTTATCCATTAAGTCTTTTATTATCTTTATCATTGAAATTTAAATTTGCTTTACATTAAATAATATCATCTGAAATTTTAATGAAACTTTGGTCATCATAAATTCTATTATTAAAATTTGGTATTTACAATACAATCATCTTTTAATATTCATTATTCCTTTATCAATTCAAACTTCATAAAATAAACAAAATCTCTTATAATGAGTTTATAATAAAGTTAAATACAAGTTATTAAAGAATATAAATACAAATGAATGAATATATAAAATAATTCAGATAATTATATAAATCTTGAATTAGTAATTTATTTTTAATAAATATGCTAAAATAATAAATCTTTGAAATCAATTCTTTTAAAATATTATATTATAGTATAATATATTTAATAGATTAATTAAATCTTTTAAAATATAATACTTATATCTATTATATATTTATTTTTTAGAAATTTTGTGATCTTAAAGTTCTTAAAATTATTATGAATAAACTTCACCAATATATGAATATAAATATTTAAAATATTAAAGAGCTAAAAATACTTCTTGTATTATAAATTTATTAGATATCAAATGAGTTATAATTCTAATAAAATTATGCTATCCTTTAAAAATTCAAAAATTATAAGCTAAACTAATTTTATCTATTTTTTTTAAAAATCTTTTTCTAAAAATTCTTTAGTTAAAATCTTAAAAAAATTCTTTAAAGCTTTCATTTTCTAAAATATAAATGGTTAATAATATTTTTTTTTTTAAAAAAAGTTTTTGATTATTATTTATTAGATAAGATTAAATAATATAATCTCTCATATCTTTTGTTTTTGAATTTTAAGCTTATTTAAAATAAAAATAAAACTATAAATTAATTAAATAAAATTATATTTAATATAATTTAATTTTTAATAAATATATATTTATTTATATTTTCTTTTTTTGTAGAATTATAAATTTTATATAATTTAGATAATATCATATTTGTAATTGATAATTTATTGTTTACTTTATGCTTTATGATTATATTTATCCTTCAAATTTTTAACTAAAATTAGTATATAATTACTTAATATTAATTAAAGTTATCATAGTATTAAGTGAATCTAAATAAAACTTTGTTTAAATCTTTTCTATATTAAATTTAGAATTTTTTTTATAAATCTATTAATAGTTTTTTAGAAAAATTACCTATAATCTTAATGTTTTCAATTCATTATTAATTTTTTCATAAAAAATAAAAATTATAATAATAAAAATATTTAAATATTTGAAAATTATCAATTTACTTTACTATGTGAATTTTTTATAAAATATATAATTAAGATTGCTTGTCTAAATTTATTTTTAGATTTGGTTAAATGTTTAAACTTTTAGCTTTATTAAATTTTACTAAAAATTTAGTTTAGTTTTACCATTTTCATAAGCTTTGATATGGTTTTACCTTTTTATAAATTTTACAATTTTTTAATAAGGTTTTAATATAATTTAACCAAGTTTTATTTTTATTATTTAGACATCTAACTAATTCTTAGATTTTATTCAAAACTTTATATATGATAATATAATGGTAAAAAATTTTTCATAATAATTTTATAATTTATTTTACTAGTAACAAAAAAAAATTTTTTTAAAAACTTTTTGTAAAACTTAATTTATTTGAAAAGAAAAAATATATATATTTCTAAAAAAAAAGACTTATTCTTATTTAAAGAATTGCTTTAAAAAACATTTTATTAAAAAGACTATACTTTTTTATATATCAAAAATATCTAACCATTTTTGTTTTTAAAAAAAAAAATAATCAACTTTTGAATCAACTTTTAAAGAATCAAAAACTTACCTAATCTAAGCATAGTAGACTTTCTATTTTATCACACGAATTTTGCTGATCATTTTTGATTTTATCACATGAAATAAATACCGATCCGATATAAGACATTATCTTGATTTTTTTAAATAATTATACATATTAATACATCCTCAAATTTTGCCAATAAATGTATTATACTCTAATTTTAAAAATATTTATTTTATTTAAATCAAATTATTATTGACCACTTTTAATATGTAATAATATTTTAATTTAATGTAATTTTTATGCATTTTTTTAATATAAACTGTGAACAAATTTAAAAAGTTACATAATAATCATACTTATAAACTTTACAAATTAATAAAAATTAATTCTGTATATTTGCATTTATATTTTCAATAAAATCAGAAATATATTGAAGAACTTTAATATGTACCTTCTATATAAAATTAAAATCAAATATAATTCCTGTAGTAAAATTGTAAATAACCCAATATATATATAAGCTAGATGAGTGATCATATGGGGTCTTTGCAATAGAAAGGAGGGAAACTACCAGAAAAAATAAAAAATGAGTTAATGCTAAATTTGAACATATTTCAGCCTAAAAATCATATTTGGCATATAAAAGTAAAATTGATTTTTCCCAGCAGTTTCCCCCCTTTCTATTGCAAAAGCCCTATATATTCATATAAAAGAAGGAAATGATTTCTATCCAAATATTAAATATTGTATGAATTTAATCACTGGTTGCTAAATAAATGTGGTTAACAATATTATTTGTAATTCAAACTAAATTTTGAATTTGATCACTAATATTTCTACATCTGGTGAATGATTTTAATTCTAAAATTAAGGTATATTATTATCTTTTAAAAGAATATAAGAATATTTGTTTAGCATGCATGCATGTTGAGAAATTAATAATTATATTACTGATATCAAAATTCATCACAAAAATTTAAATTATATTTCTTACTAACAAGTGCTTTTACAAGAAATCTTATAGTCTTTTACTTCATATTGTAAAATTCTTTTAAAGACATAAAATTAATTAAACAATTCCTAAAAAGAGAATAAATAAATATATAATTAATTTATTAAAAAAAAAAACTCCAAAATTCTATACTAAGAAACTTAATTTTCTATCCTGTAAAAATATTGATTAACATATTTGTCTTATTGCATATTTTTTTTAATGAACTGTTACTAAAGAAGACTTTTAAAAATAAATTAAATCAGTTGTATTGAGTAAGAATAAATACTAGCAAATAAAAATAACCATAAGGTATAATAATATTATTTTATGCAAAATTTTGACATACTTGTAACTTCTAAATTACCTCTTTAACATTCAAATTATTTTACAAGGTATTTAAAAAAGACCTAAAATATTGAAATATGCATTTAGTTTTTATCAATAAACTTATTTTTAACGCTATTAAATTTAAATAGTAATGATATTACACATTTAAGTTTTATGTAATATTTTGAAAATAAGCTAGTAAAATGTGTACTACTGTTAAATAATTACGTTACATTATGTAATTTAAAATTATATAAAATCATGACACCTAAATTTTCGGTTTTTCTATTGTTAAGCTTAATCTGTACATCATTAAATTAACAATTTATATTTGCTAATAGTAAGTTTAATTATATCTAAACTATGAAAGAAATATACACAAGTTTAATTAATTGAAGAATCATATCATCTTTATTGATATTTATAATTAGTTAATTCTTAGTTTATTAATAATTTTCTATCTCAAGTTATTCTTTAACTCAAGAATAAATACATATTATTTATATAAAATAAACTATAGTAATATAATATGTCTGATAAAATAAATATAATAAATATAATAAATAATATATACAGTAATTAATAAATATAACAAATATGACAAATCTGACAAATATGATAAATATGATAAATATAGTAGATCAGTCAAATATGACCAATTTGTCATATTTGTTAACTAAGTCAAATAATAATTTGTAGATCAATTTTAATGATCTTTTAATAATATTGATTTTGCAATTAATACCATTTGATTTTAATTACTAACGTCACATTATTTTTAAAAATAAAAAAAAATACAAGTGATCACCATAATAATCGATATAGTGATAAGATAAAAAGTTCGCTATGCTTCTAATCTACTAAAAAAAGTGAAATTCATTTTATAAAAAAAGAAAAAGAAAATTAGTAAAGAAAAAAATCAATTCACTAAAGAAATTTTAAATAATTCTAAAAATTAAAAACTGTTTTCTAAAAAAAAGAAAAACAAAGTTTTATTACATAAAGAAACTTAAACAAATTGAAAAATCTATTGAAAAAAAAACCTATCTATATTCAAATAAATAAAGAAATTAGCTTTTTAAAAAAAAAAAAAAAAGTTAATAAAGAAAATAAAGTTATTTTTTTAAAAATTCCTAAAAAACTTATTTAAAAGAAAAATCTATTTAAATCTAAAAGAACAAAGGTTTAGTTCTTAAAAAAAAATAAAAAAAAAATAAATTCATCTTTGAAGAAATTCTAAAAGAAGATTTAATAATCTGAAAAATATGAAAGAACTGCTTTTAAAAAAAGAAGGTATTTAATATTATAAGAAGAAATCCATTTTAAAAGAGTTTTAAAAGAAGCTTATCTTATATGAAAAGAATGATTCTATGATTAAATAATAAAATAATTAAAAAAAAACTTTAAAAAATTAAAAATTAATTAAATAAATATAATTGTTAATTTATTTATAGATTTTTATAAATATTGTTTTTAAATGAAAACAGATTATATATAAATTAAAAAACAAATAAATTAAAATTAAAATGATCAAATCAAATTAAAAATATCTTCTTACACTATTTTTAGAAAATTTGAGTTTCGAGATATTTGAGATTAAACTATTTGTTTATAATTAATATCTTTATTTAAACTTCTAATAGGTTTTTCTAAATTCAATTAAATTTAATCAAGTTTTAGTTTTAAAAAAAAGTTATTTTAAAGGTTTCAAAAAAGTTTTTAAATTTTAAAATAATATGTTAAAATAGGTTTAAATAGCATTATTAGAATATATCATAATTGATAATTAGTATTTAAATTTAATAACAATAATTTGAATATTTATTTCAAATAAAAATTAGAACAATATATTTTTATTCTATATTTATTTTATTATTTTATCAAAACTTTATTTTATTATTTCTTTAAAATAATATTTATTATTTTATCAAAGTAATATTATTCTTTTAGAATAATCTTTTTTATTTATTTTTATTTAAAATAATTCTTTTATTATTCCTTTAAAATAATAATTTATTGTTCTATTGTAATAATTTTTTATTATTTTTTTAAAATAATATTTTACTTTATCTTTAAATCAAATTTAAATTGATTAAAAGTATATAAATTAATGATACCAGAATAGATTCAATAGTATAATAGGAAGAATTATTAGTAATTATGAGGTTATTAGGTATAATGTCTGATCTCATATTCAAATATCTTTGAGTAGCTTGATCTGATACAATTTTAATGTTTCTCTTGAGTAAATAAAGTTTTTTAGAATTAACTAATGTAAAAAAATTAGTTTGAATAAGTTAAGAAAGATATATGTCAATTAAGTTATCACAATTTAAATTTTGAGTAGTAATAAAAAGTCATATTGTATTTTATTATGAAAAGTACATCCAGTGCAGAATACTAAGATATTCTTTTTTTTTGATGATGATCTAGAATCTGAAGTAAAGTTGATTAGAACAAAGTGTTGGAATAAAATCTTATCAGGAAAAAGTAGAGATTTAAATGATTTTTCAAAAATTATCTGTTTAGGATAAGATAAGTTATAAAAATTTAATTTAAGAGCAACTCAATCTGAAACTTAATCAAATCTAAAGAAAAAAAGGTTTTAAACCAGAAGAAGTAAATAGAGTAATAGTGTATTAATCCTTAATTCTGTTCAAGTATACTGAGTTAATTAAGACAGTCTTTTTCATTATTCTGAATAACTTTTTTTAACTGTGTTATGATCATTATTAATTTGAATACCTAGGTCTCTAAATTTGATAGTAAATTACCATCACAAATTAATTGGGCAAAATATAATAAAGATTTATGTTATAGGAGTTAATTCACTTTTTCTAAAAGATGATATTTTGTAAAGGAATTTTACCACCTTTGATTAAAAATTTGGAATTAATATCATTCGTTTTTGTAAAGAAAATATTTGATTGTAAGTAAAAAAATATTATGTTGCTAAAAAATTGTCATGATAAATATTGTTTAATTAAGAAGGCTAATAAGTTAAGAGGTTATCATAGAGCCAATAGAATACTTGAAGTTATTTGAGTCTAATTTCTGTGATTTTTGTAAAAAATGACAAAAGTAGGCATTTATCATTATAGCAAAATGTTATAATTTTGAGTGTATCATGTTTGCAATAAAATTATTAAAACTATTTGTAAGTTTGCTAATTAATATATTATTAGGAGTTGGTTTGTGAAATTTTAATTTATAATTAAGAAATATTTTGACTTTGGTGAATAAAGCGTTACATTCTTTAAGTATAAAAATTACTAATTAAGATCTGTATTCAATACAGGGATTAGATTATGTTGAATATATGTTTTAACTGTTTGTCAGTTAAGGGTTTATATTTCAGCTTTAAATAAAATTTGCAATTTCATCTTGAATTTGTTATTGATTTTATTGATATAGGTTTTGTTATATTTTGCAGATATTCACATATCCAAATATTGATTTTGAGAGTTTTTTTGTTAAAAAAGTTATAGGACTGTTTAAAAAATTCACTATATATTAAAATATCTACATCAATTGCTTCAGAAGTTAGAATAAAGGATTATTGTGATTGACTTTCATCAAGTTGAAGTCAAAAAATGATTGAGTAATGTCAAAAATGACAATAAGATTAATTAAATTATCTGTAATTCAAATTGTATTATACATATATACTGATTTAAGAATATGAGCTGAAATATCAGATGCTTCAATTTTTGTTATATCTGGTTGCCATAAAACAAATATTTATATCTATAGTTAGAATTTTAGATACGTGATAAAAGAGAATCATAATAAATAATCCAGAATAAAGGAAAGATTACTTCTTCTTAGTCAATTCCAATTATAACATTATAAGAATCAGTGTTACCATTTAAATACTATGTTCTTTTGGTTTAAAAAGATTAGTAATGACATCTATGAATACTAGAGGAATTTTTAATTTTTCTATTACTTTACGAAGCATAAAAATATTAATTCTATCATATGCTTTAACATATCTTAGAAAAGAATATATAAGTTAGATCAATTGGATTTGTCAAATTTATTATTAAGGTGATGAAATTCAAGAATATTATTAACAATATATAAGGGTTCTATTGTCAATTGATGTAGTAAATCAGCAAAATTTAGGCTTTTAAGTATGTTGTATTTTATAAATACATTCTGCAATCTCTAATTTAAAATCTTAACAAAGGCTTTTCAAACAGTATTAAAAAGAGTAATAAGATGAGTATTATTTAGCTTATAATTCTAAAATTTTAGTTTTGAGATTAAATACATATACAGTGAGACCTCTCTAAATGCATCCTTCCTAAATGCACGCATATATATTTTGTCTATAAATGCACATTTTACATAGCCACAAGTATATAAAGATCATACAAAAGTTCTCTCTTTGAATGCACACACTCCTTAAATGCATATTTTTCAAATTTTTACTATGATCCTAAGGGGGGTGCATTTAGAGAGGTCTCACTGTATGTTAAATTCCATTATACAAGTATGTGCAAACCTCACCAGCATAATAAAAGTTTTTTATTGCAAACTTCAAATTAGTTACTTGGCCTTGAGAGTTAAAATGAGAACCATATTTGTCAATTGGCAATATTATGTTAGCTATTTTTGAGAAAATATTGTTTAACAAAGTTATATGTTGATTGATAGGATACGTGTATTCAAATATAAAGATAATCAAAATCAAAGACACAAAACATTTTATAATATTGAAGAATGTTTTTATGTGGCAGGGATTTTCATCTAGACCTCCATCAACTAAAAGAATCCAAATAAGTTTGATCCAGCTATCAACTTTTAATATCCTATCAAAATGATTATCTTGAGTTAGTGAGTTCAGATTACTCATTTGAGTGGTTGAGCTTGTACCAACTTGGTATTATGAATGCATAAAAATTGAAAGTTGGTCATTACGAGAAGTATCATTCATGTTGTTCAAGTTGATAAATAAGTAAACTGACAGAATAAGCTTTTAATACATATCGACTAAAAATCATGACCAGGTAGTGTAACTGGCTTTTGAAAACTTTATATAGTTTAAAAAGTTCTTCCAATTGCAGGAATACTAAGAAGAATCTTAGTTTTATCATCCTAAAAAATGATAATAGAATGAGTTAAAAATAAGGCTATGAATTATTTTGCTCCTTTTACAGATGTAAGACAATAATGATCATTAACATATTCCTTTCTTTCATTTTATAAAACAGAGGTATTTGCAACAATAGCAGGATGGTGATAAGTTTTAGCTACTATAGTATTCGATCTGAATGATAGCAAGTAATTATTAAAGGTAGTATGAGAAAGATACTCATTATATTTAAATTTAAAGCTTCTTGAAGATAATGAATGGTTCTAATTTTAATAATTTCTTTTCTCTTTTCTTTATCTGCAACTCCAAACTCAATACTTTTATATATATGCTCATGTAAATCAGAATATTGAATTAGAAGAGGTGGATGACCAGGTGAGTTATATTGTATTACTTCTTGATGTACTTGTAAAAGTTTTGCTTTTTTTGCCCTACTTTTTTATTGATATTCTGCTTGACACTTCAATTTTCTAACCTTATTATTCTCATCACACAAAATTTTCCTGTGAGTTGTAATATGTATTATTATATTAACCCAATCTCCAAGTTAATAGTAGAATTATAAATTTGTTGAAATTTAGCAAGCTTCACATTGGTTGCATTAATTGTTTCTTTATATAGCAGCATTAGGGGCAAAGTAACTTCAGATACAATAATCACTTCAATTGGTTTTTGAAAAGGTTGGTTTGCTTGAATAGACTTTAAGCTTCTGGAATGCCCAAAACTGAACACCAAAAGATCCTTCTCATCTATCAAGAAAAAGTACTTTGATATGAATAAAATAATAAAAACAAATAGATTAAATTTGTCTCCTGTACAGATGAGTTATTAGTCAATAGTCCCATTAAAAATATCAATTCTAACTACCTTTTATGTGGAAGTAGTATCAATTTCTATTGGAATATCCTTCAGAATATTATTATTACAGCAGCTAATAATATGATACCTTGCAAATAATTGAGCACTTATTGTAAAAATATTCACCTTAAACTCCTAAAGAAGTCCTATAGTACCTTGAAATGTATTCAAAAATAGTCAAAGATAACTTCTGATATTCTTAAAACACAAATTTTTAAAGAAGAATGGAAACTTTTTTTTACTAAAATGGTCCTAATTACCTAAAAACTACATACTATTTTCTTAGATCATATAGATCTTATAACTAAGGTTCTCATCAAATATGCCTCTCATTAAACAAATTTACTATGCATATATTACAAAAATAAAGTTTATAGAACAAGAACACAAATTAGCTTCCATTAAAAATGCGTTAGAAAAATGATATCAAGATTACAAAGATAACCAATCTATTATGATTGACTCTATTATTAATAGACATAGGCATACAATCTACTTAGACTGATGTATAGACGGTTTAGGCAATAGTAAAGGATTACTCACTGATCCAACAGATGTAATCAATGAAATGAATAAACATTTTCAAAAAGTAATAGCCCTATAAGAAATCAAAATAAAGAAATAATACGTTTTTTATAAGGTTTGTATACATAATTGATGATTCTGTATCATAATTCTGTATGTTTTATAATGATTTATTTTTTTATAATTTTTTAGAAAATTGATGTATACAGAATTATTA